AGCTTCGGTTTGAGGCTGACGCGCTCAGGAGCGGCCCCACTCAGAGCGGCTCCGGGTGCTGTGTCTCGAGCTGGGCTGCGGCTTGGCGGCCGGGAGCTCAAACTTCTCGCTCCGGACGCGTCGACCAAAGCCTTGGCGGGCCCCTTGAAGGCCATGTTGCTTGCCTTTGGCCCAACCGGACCACTGCCATTTTTGCTCGAAATCAAGATTTGGTTTTATTTCCCCTGGAGGGAATGTAGCACCACTGGCAAGATCTTCGCAATTTTGGCTAGGGGGGGGGGGGAAAAGCAGATGGAAGCTTTGCTTGGTGTTTTTTGCCCAATCGGGCCAATCCAATAAAAGGGGTTGTCGACATCAGCAAGGGTCTTTGCCCGGTTGTGCAGGATTGCTATTTTAATGGCCCATGAAAAAAGCTCCCGGGTCAATGGGTTGGTAATCTCTTCCCCCAATTAATGAATGACCCCAATTAATAATAAATGCAAATCCGGGGCCCGGGACCAGATTTCCACTCCACACAATTGATTTTCCATTGCGCCAATACTAAACCAATACTAACGTCTTGGAATCCTTATTAGGGGGCACTGTCTCTCTCCCGTACATGCTGGCTAATTAACCTGCCTGGCTGCAAACAAACAACCAGTAAACTGGTAAACAAATAGAATGATACATCAAATTTCCTTATTGAACCGCTTACTCGCGGACCTTGCAATTCAATCCATTTCATCCAAATCCTACGTGAACCCTCACATTGTTGGAAAAGCAAAAAAACCAACCCCAAAAACCCCAATTAAAAAAACAATATATTTGGGTGGATTTATTTATAATAGGGGGGGGCCGTATTTATTAATACGGGGAAGAGATTAGAAACAAAACTTCCAGGTCAGGTTGGTTCTTTGGTTTCGAAACAGGGATTTCATCAGAATTCCCTGGTTCACACAGTGACTCCCATAGATAAGACTCGACAAATGTTGAGCATCTAGAACCTGATTTTCTTTCTGCCCAGGTCGGATTCTAGAACGCATGCCCATGGCCAATTGCCTTAAGGTATCCACAGTTTCGACCAATGGCATCCAATGATCCTTTTTCTATCCGGGGTTGGATTGCGGCACGACATTATTTCTGGTGGGTTCAGCTGTTGCCATCCAAATTCTGTTTGGGTGCTGGGCGTAGCTCCTCATGCCATCCAAGTTCCAAAGCATCATGCCGATTTGTGTCATTTGGACAAGGATGCAGCATCCAAACCCTCACCCTTCGTTTGATTTCACCAAACTCCAACCCCCCATGCCCGCTGGATTCCCTTTTCAAGGACCCATTTGAATAGATTCAGGGTGTTTTTTTCCTGAGATTCTTGACACATTACGTTGCCGTACAACGCAAACTTCTTCCCGAACCTCTCCAACCCCAGACCCATTTGGCTATGGTTCAAAACCAATGGGATCCCATTTTGTTTTTGTTTTTTTGTGCACCACCCATGTTAGAACCTATTTCAGTGGGTGCACCACCCATTTTAGGTTTCCTATTTTAGTGGTTGGATTGAATCGGATGTTCACCGGGGGCTACGGAATTTTGGGTTTTGACCCCGCCCATTTTGAGGCGCCGGAGGTGCGTTCAGAGCTGCAGGAGGTCAGGGTGAGCGGAGGGATGGAATGGCATCGCTCCGTGCGAAATGTGCCCAGTTTCGAGGAGCTGTGTTTGGGAGGGTATTTGTACCGTTTATGCACCTTGGCAGTTGTGTTTGGAGGGTATTTGTACCGTTGATTCACCTTGGCTTAAATTTAATCAACAAGGAAAGCCCCAGTACAGATTGTTTTGGGCCCCCTATTTTGAAGCACACACACGCACATTTGATCTCCCATTAGTTTCACCACGTTTGTGACGCGGAAATCTGGATGTCTTGATGTCTTGATGTGATGTTTAGACGTGCCGGTGTGTATGTCAGTGTGTTTGATGCTTCGTGTTACTCTTTGGATGTGGCAAACGCTTTTCTGGATCACGGGAGGAACCAACAGGTCAGGCTTAGGGCAGCACGCACCCGAAGCGCAAGCAAGGAAGGAAGCCTTGTGCCACGGAAGAATGGAAGAATAGCAGGTGTGCAGATGCCTATAGGCGCGGATTGGCTGAAACTGGCAGAATTTTCGTGTTTGGCAATTCGTGATATCTTGGATGGACCAGCCACTTTGGTGTGCTTTGGACACTTAGCAAGGCAACTGAAGCACAGCACCTCAGCACTTGTGTTGCTCGGCTGAACTGATGGCCACAGCTGACACTGGCTGAGTGACCAAAGTTGGGATAGGTAGACTTGATACATAGCACACCAATACGTGTTCAATATAAGCATTATGTAGTTGACCATTCTAGTTTCGGTAGGTAGTTGAGCCAACTTTTCAGTTTTAGGCTTCAATTCAAAATCCAGGGAATCATGATAGGTTTGTTTGGAACAGGGAACGGAGAGGGCTGGAATCTGTAGGAGCAGGACTTGTATTTGGCTCGGCTGAAAGTCCAGGACCGGTTTTCTTACATTTTTAGGGGGACGTAGGGGGACCATGGAGGACCCTTGCCCAGTTGTTGAGTGGGTCCTGTTCTTTCTTTTCGGCTGGTAATTTCTTGCCCTCAGAAGGGGTTTCCCTTTTCTACCAGAGAAACTGGCTAACCGGGCTTTTGTTGAACCAAAAGAGTGACCAAAGCCAAACGAGTCAACGTCTGAACCGACGGCAAGGGTCCGGACGCCATCCACAAACCCAACGTCGGAGGCCAATTTGGGTTTGTTTTTTTATCGGGAGAACTCCCAAAAGCGGGCTTCCCTTCCTTCCTCCTCAAAACGCACCCAAAGGGGCGACATGGGTTTCCCGGAAGCCCAATGGCCCCATGTTTTTTTTTGTAGATCATTGAACTTAAAGAACTTAAAACTATTGATCCATGAACCTCCCCTAGTTCCCTTGGTTCTCCCAATGGCTTTAAGTTTCGCAAATGACCATAGTCCATTTCTGCCAGGTGATGCAGCAGTTCCCTTTGGCCAAGCCCGGGGCCCTTGAAGCGAAGCGACCGAAGGATGCTCAGATCCTCGGCGCGTTCAAGCGGCCATGCCCGTGGCTTTTGCTAAGGCTTATGCTCAGTGGCCCAAGGCGAAGCGACCTCTTGACCTTTTGATTTTGGCCCTTTTTGGTCCACTTTTAGTCAAGGTTACAGACGTTTTTAGGCTTTTATTCCCAGATCCTTTGGGCAAGTGAGGATAACATGGAACGGCGGGTACGCCGACAAGCCACGTTCATGCGTTGAGCCACACGCTCCTGAGCAGCTTCTCTAACCTATGCTTTCCTGAAGCTGTTACAGTACAAACACACCAGGTCCGCTAAAAGAAGACTTTCCTTTGTAAACGATTGTGGCTTTGGCTCCTTGTTTGGGTGTGCAATCACTTGGAACTATTCGGAACCTACTCATAAGGATGAGGCTTTTGGAGACACGATTGCTGCCCGGTGCGCATGTTGCTCTGCGGATAGTTGAAGGTCCCCAAATTGGGGGGGGCCCTAATCTTGACATTCCTACTTGGAACCAGCCTTGAGTCAAGACATACCTGAAGTTGACACAATGCCCATCGCAGCACGCGTTTGTAGTCACGTTTGCCGCAGGGGCGTTGTGATTTGACAACATGTTTTGCTGATGCTTCAGGCAGGGTGCAATCGCTGAGTATTCCTTGTGTGGGCGTTGGTTGGTGCTGCTTAGTTGTTTTATAGCTGCAAGTGTTTATCACGATGGAAGGTGCATAAATTACCCATGCTCTGCATGCACTACTGCCATGTCTTCAGGATCTTGCGTTTGTTGCCATTGTTGGCTAGCTGCATTGCTCTGTTGCCTTCATGGTTTTTGCGAACTTCTCTCTCTCTCTTGTCATTGACCAGCAGCACGTTTCAAGCTTCGCACCTGAGGTTTTTGTTGAGCAGAAGTCTAGATGCCAACCCCCACGTGCACCTGGACTAATCCCCCGCCTTCCTGGACGGACTTGCTCATATCTCAGCGCAAGCTTCCGAGGTACATCCGCATCAATCCAGAGGAGACGTCGACTCGCTGTGGCTCTTCAACGAGCATTTCACTTTCTGCACGCCGAGGGGTGTGTAACGAGACTGGGGCTCCTTCCAAATGGTTAGTTTCATGTTGTTGCGGCCTGATGCATTTCCAAAGGGCCCCCACGGTTTTGATACATACTACTTCCATTCATGTCCCCTGAAGGACAGTATTTGGAGCGCATGCTGGTTTTGGAAGACCACATTTGTTTTCAAAAGAGTACATGCTCATGGGAGACTCAGAGAAGCATCGAAGACATGGAATTTGACAGCGCGCAGAAAAAAGGCACGGAACTTTTGTGTGGATTTTCTCCGTGTCGTGGGCAGATCAAACGTTGACCTCGGGTAAGGCAGCCCTTGTGGATGCCTTCCCCGGTGACGTTTGATCGCACTTGCAGAAGCTGATCGTCTCGGTTTTTTTCTTCCGCTTTCAATTTAGCGCTTCCTAGGCTAGTTGTGATACACTTGGAGCGCAGGAAAAAGCTGGTTGTGATGAACATGTTTATGTTTCTTGCTAGTTGCCATGAACATGTTTTGTCTTGCTAGTTGTGTAACGTGTGTTATATTTTGGGAATCATGTGATGCACTTGGAGCTTTGGGCTATATCGTGTATCGTGTTGTGCTACAACTCGGCATGCAAGAGAACGCCAAGGAGGCAGCCCAAGAGAGGCCTTGAAGAGCAAGCAAGCACCGTGGTTTGTTTCTTATCGGCAAAGGTTGATGCAAACTGGGCTACAGTTGCTTTGGTGCATTTTGCTTGGATGTTAGGACTTTAACTTTTTGCCAACTAATGGGTTTTCCATTAAGCCACTAAAAGTTACACTTTTAGCAGGGGAGCAGAAAGCAACCAAGGTTGATACAGTACACCTTTTGTCTGTTCTATTCTGGAGTTAAGCTGGTGAAGCAACAATGCACGCGGAGGAGGACGTGATCTTTCCAAACATGCAAGAGCTGTGAGAGCCTTAGATGCTTTGTGCGTTCTGCTGACTTGTACCATTGTACAGCCCAAACCCGAAGTTGACATTTTGACCTGTTGGCATTTGTGCGGGGCGCCTCAAGGTAAACAGAGTTTTTGTCTGGGACCAGTGAAAGGATGCACAGTTCGAAGATGACACCGCATGTGTGGTCGTTTCTTGATATACTTATTATTGAGGTGTACATAGTTGTTGCTCAGGGAAAGTGACAACCCGTCAAGAAGTAATCCACGGCGGATGTGTTTATTTATTCTACAACAACCACGTTCAACCACACCACCATGATGAATTCCAGTAAGTTCGAGGGTTAGCTTGGAACCTTGCTTGCCTTTTCTTTGGGCATGCAGCCTAGCCCCATGGCATTTTGTTCCTTCCCTCGGCCCAGGCATGAGAGGTGCGTCTCAGTGAGCCATGGTGTGGATGAGGCCTTGGTGTGGGATGGAACCTGACAGGGGCCCGGTCCCTACAGGAAAATGGAAAAGGAAGCCCCGAAGGTTCAATGGTTCCAGGACAAGAGGGTAATCTTTGCCATCTTGGAAGCAAAAGTCGATCGGGTCGATCGGACGGGCAAGAGGCAGAGATTAGTTCAAACAAAACGGCACCCAAATGGTAACCAGGTAAATGGAAACAAGGACTATAATTTGCTGTCCCCTGGTGGTTGAATTTTGACCCATACCCTTCTGACTTGCAGTTGGCCATGATCTTTGAGTCACGTGACGTGTCACGTGACGTGGGTCGGGGGGGGGGAAGCGGACCGAAGCTGGTTAGGTGGGCTGCATTGATTCCGGTTTTGCATTATGGCGGACCTGGTGACTTTGACATGCAGCGTTGAATTTCCATGTAGTTTTCGATTTACACTACCCAGAGGCTCCCGATTGATTTGGGGCCTTCAAACAACCTGGTTTTGAGACCCCCAACTCCGGGGTGTCTAATGGAGGGTCGAGTCTTCCATTGAAAGCCCCACGAGCCTCTGGGCATTCAAATTAAGGCAAAATATTGATGGCTTCATTGGTGGTTGCCAGCCGGCTCCGTTCAAATAGTGCATAGCAGCTTTTGCCTAAAGCTTTTGCTAGCTGGGTGTCATCTTGTCAACTATGACCCTATCTGCCACGCTCTTGGAGTGTGATGTTCGTCCGTGTTTGGCAAGTGACAAAACAAGGTCAAGCTTTCCGTGATGTGCTCGAAGCACCAACTCATGTCAACTCGATATTGAGCTTTCTTTTCCCGGCGTCGGCTCATGTTCAAGCGGCTAGCTTTTGTTGATTTGTTGAACCAAGTAGTTGGTTTGGGATTCAGATTCAATCAATAGAGCGCCAGCTGCAAGAACGCAGCTAACCAACTCAAGATGCTGTTCAGCTCTGCAACAAAATCAGTCAGCCTGTCAGGCTTGGGCAATCATTGCGCAAAAATTAGCCCCAAACCGTACCCCACCGCCAAACAACATATTGCTTGGGGAGAGCCCATGGGAAAACGGGTGGTGCTCCCTTTGAGGCCAGCTGCGTATCGTGAATATCATGGGGTGAGCCAGCAGCCGGCTGTTCAACTCAATCAAGCATTCATGAGCACAACTGAAAGCGACCATCACAAGAGGTTCGATGAAGGTTCCTTGCTCTGGGAATCCATTCTTTCAAGTCGGCGAGTCATTTCAATTGGCCCAGACTTCTGCTCAATCAACTCAGCCGAAAGTTTGAGAATGTTCTCCATTTTGCGGGCCAGTCAGGCCTTCGCAGCGATGCACTCTCAGATCAGACCCAAGGCCCTGTCGCTGTTCGAGCTTTCTCGGTAGCTGGCGAATTGCAGGTCTCCGGAGCTTAGCATCTTCTTCCATTTGCTTAAGACTATTTTGTACTTTCAATTCTTGGTTTTAAAGGGAAGCTATCACTACTGGAAGTATTAGTATTTTGTCCACGGGGGCTTAAGCAACTGGAAGTTTTAAATATGGTAAGCTCACTGCTTCGTGGTAGGCACTTGTAGCTGTTGAAAGCTGAGTTGTCACCTAAGGTGGTGTTTTTCGAGGTTTAGTTCAACCACCGGGGCCTTACCTGAAAGCTTTTCAGCTGATCACTTTTGACATCCTACAGCTGCGTGTCCTTCATGTGCGTGAGGTGCGCCATAAATGCAGAAGACTTTACCCATGGCTTGGTTTGTTGGCGCCGTCGGTGCGTTGACTGGTTGGCGTAGTTGGCGGCTCGTCTGAGGTTTGGCAAGCATTGTTTGCATTCAGACCCATGGTCCCCTTCATGTTTGGAGGCCGGCTTGGGGGCCGCGTACACAAGATTCTGCAAGCGCTTGGCGTAGCCATGTTCGTCGCTTCTTTGTTATAGTCTATAGCACGCGGGATGACCCTTGTGCTGGCCAGCAGTGGGAGGATTTGGGGGCACGAGGGTTTTTGGGTGGCTGAAGGAAAACCAACAGACAAAAGCAATTGCAAGCAACGCAGATGAGTACGAGATGTGTTTTCATGCATGGCAACAAAACATTGCTGTGGGTCAAAACCAATGGTACCATTTTGGGGTAGGTGCACCACCCAGTTTAGTCTATTTTGGTGGGGATTGGGATGTTCACTGGGGGCACGGGATTTTGACCCATGGCCACATAGCAGTGACTGTTTGAGTTGTCTTTTGTGCGGAGGAGTCACTTCCGAAGCGACGTTGACTTCCGTGCCCGGCGCAGGCGATGGAGCTTTGCCGCTTCATCGCTTCTTGGCTGAGATTGAATCATCGACGTTGTGGGTAGCAAATGTGGGCAGAAAGGGATGCCACAGTATGGGTGTGCGTTGTTTTAGAGGACCCCAAAAATTGTGTGTTGCCTGTTGGCTTCCTTGTAAAACCAACAGGTCCCTTAAAAAAGACGCAGGAACGTCTCCATGTCTCGGCACTTGGTGCCTATTTAGCATGAGCAACAGCCATGTTTGCCTGGTCTAGGAGTTAGCCAAGTCTGCTGGGGCCATGGCTATGCGGGTTACAAAGCTTGACTGCTATTGGGCAACGGATCTTCAGACTTTAACTTTTTGGGAAATCAGGGGGGTTTCCACTAAACCCCCAAAAAGTGGAACTTTTTGCAGGGGGGTCTACAGCAGCCAAGACAGGGCCACGAGGAGATGCACCAGGGGTTGCCAGCCCCCGAGCTCACTCGCACGCTTGTCGCCAAACGCTCTATTTCCCTTGTGGGTGACTTCGACCGCCTTTTTTGCCGATTTGAGTTTCTTTCGGGGCCGGAGGTGTGTCCCCACACCACGCGTACTTGGTTCGGGTACCTTTTCGAGAAGAGTCCGGGCGGAGGAGTCCTATATGAAGAGTCCGAGCGCAGACCTCTAGGGACCAGGCAGATAAGGAAAAAGAAGCCAGCCGACCGAGATCCCAGGATCCTCGAAATGTGCAGCAGTGGATCCAGCACGGGTCAATCAGTCGGACTGTAGACTCTGTAGACTTGCATGTTGGGCAACCAGGGCAAGCAGCATCTTTGGTGGCTGGCCATTTTTCGCCATGTTCCGGACCTCCATTAAAATTTGGGGGCTTTTTTGTTTGGTTCCGCTCCTTGCTGTTCGGGAACCCGTCGCAAAGGTCAAGGACCGTGCACTGGTGGCGCGGGACGTGCTGGCGCCGCAGTATGCATCTTGGCAAAGCAATGGTTCCGGGCGTTTTGTGTCTCTTTTTTTTTGGGGGGGGTTAGACATGGTATACGCGTAGTGCAGCGCATAACAAGGTGATACTTGCATTCATAGAAATTTGCCATGTATCAACACGCATTTGGACCTCCAGTCGGTCAGCTGGGCCTCCAAACGGAGGTCCGGCCGGATCCGCAGCGCCATGCGGCTCGTGCATTTTTTTGTGGTGTGCGGTTCCTTTTTCCAGATCTTACCTCTTAAAAACACTTTTTTCCACTTTTTGGGTAACATGGGCTATATGTCTGTAAAATATTAACTTCCCCAGGGCTTGGAGTTTTAAGGAATTTTAAGGAATAAGAGATGGCCCAGGTTGAAGACTTGGCTTCTGCGACTTGATCATTTGGAGTCAGTGCTTGGTGGTTTTGAAATCCTAGTTCCGCTTATTGTGCTTTTTTGGAGCTAAGAATCTAGCCGTTCAGTGGATTCCTTTGACTGGTTTGGTCTTCCAAATTTATGGCCGTGGGGAGGGGGGGGCAGGACGTCGCATAAATAGCCAGATAGCAAGCACGGCTTGCAGCTGCAGCGCTGGACACGACATGACTGCAGAGAGGCGACCCTGATAGCGAAGCTTGTAGTACAATATATGTTCCATCTATTATAAGTTGATATGATTGATATGTTCTCTGTTTGGTCACCCATGGTTCGGTCGAATATATCTCTCCACATCGTTGCTGTCGCGTCTTGTCCCCCCCATACAATGAGCGGGAACCAGCCACACAGACGCGCGCATCAGTTGTTTGATGAGGCACTGGCACAGTCGGCAGAGGTATGCATTCATTGTCATTTCAATTGGTCTGGTCTTTGGAAAAGCTGCATCGCTGACGACCAGGGGCCCAGGGGGCGGGGGCAAGCTCGGCGTATGCCAAGGCCAGCCCTATGCGATTGCTGCACATCCTGGAGCGTGCAGGCGAGTGCTTCAGAGAGATGCGGTTTTAGATCCTCGAAAATCTCACTTGTCCAAGGGTGATCCTGTGACCTGGTGACCTCTCAACTCAACTGTTTGGGTTTGGTCTGATTTGAGCCATGATTCCAAGAAGGTTGCCTTTTTATTTTCAGTGTTCTGAATGGACAGTTCAATTGAGTTACAACCTAATTGGCGGATATTGGCGGTATTCGTGCATGTGTACACACAAACATACCGGGCAAGACTAATAGACCAACACTGGAGTTTTGTTTTTTGGGGTTGTAGTGTTGGTTGTATCAGATCTGCACAATCCTTTGACCGTGGCCCTCTAAGCACTGGCGTGTTGGAGGAAGAGTGATGACATTACCCAACAGCGACATGGAGCCAGACACACTCGCATGGGCAAAGAGCAGCGTGCCTTAGTTTCAGGATGTTGTGCAGCTGCTTATGAATGAGGGATCAGCTTGACAGGCATCTCCCATGGGATTGGGCTTGCAACCCAATTTGATGACTGGACATGCTGCAGGATGTCCTGCACTTACGGTGTTCGACCATTGCCATGACCCTCATCAAACAAGTGCCTGAGAAATTCAGAACAGCTCGTGTAGCCCTTGGTAAGTGCTTCTGTTTGCAGCGCACCTTTTGACCCTTTGGCCTCTCAGGTTTTGTCAATGAGGTCTTTGGGCAAACCCGAAGCAGCCGCAAAGTCTTCCCTCCGCAAATAGGACGTCTTGGAGGTTCCACACCGAGTGTTCGGTGCGGGGAATATCCGCCGGAAGTTTTGCACAAGCAGTCCACTGACAAGTAGCCAATTCGTGCGAGTGTTTCTCAAAATGGTGGACCCCCTATCTTCAGTTGGGCCACTATGTTTGTTGCAAACCTCCATGCAACATGCGTCCGTGCTTCCGTTGTGCGTCAGGTGTCAGGATGGAGTACGAGATTTCGGAGCCGCGCCCTTGCAGACGGCTTCCACAAGAGAATTCCTGTCTTGGGAAGTGCACGTCAGGTCAGTTGTACAGACAGAGAGAGCGAGGGAAAGAAAGAAATCATTGAGTGTGCGTGTGTGTGTGTGTGTGTGTGTGTGTGAGCGAGCTAATATTTTACAACATGTGTTCTGCAGATTGTGGTTGCGAATTTACATATTGTCTCCATGTTAGTTGCACGAAAGACATAGTGATATCCAGTGGCCTCCGATGGTGCTTTGGCAAGATGGCGACCTCTAGCGGCCATCTTGATAAGCGTGCAATTTACTTGGCTTGGGGCATGCTCCATTGTTTATAAACTCGATGTTTTCAATGATGTGCTTCTGTGATATGTTGTTGACATGTTGTTTACAACAAGTAAATGTGTCAGGTCAAAATTGGTGTTTAAAAGCAACCCAAAAGGAATCTACCACTTTGGAGGGCTTCAATATATTGTCATCAGCCACCTTGACTGGCTCTTGCATGCTTGACGGCTACGTGAACAACCACATTCATACAAATACCGAGTTGTGTCAGAGGTGGTTTGTTGTTGCATATAAGTATTGCATAGGTCTGCCAGAGTTTGTCTGGGATTTGACAAACACAGGCAAGGCCAGTGTTTTGCTCGTTCTCAGAAGGGAGAGTGAGTAGACATATTCGAGCCATCCTTTCTCAACCAGGGTCCATTGATGGTTGGGAGGGGGTCATTCCTATATAGCAACGATGGGGAGGGGTAAGGTCCAGGAAGAACAATACATGTCTTGTAATGTCAAAGACACGGGCCCGGGACCTTTCATCCATGTCAGGTAAACCATCTGGCCATGAATTTCATGGTTGGAAGCCCCTGAACAGTGGTTGGTGGACATAAATCCCCACTGAAGTTTGATGTCCACGAAAGGGTTCCCACCCGGAGGCTCCTGGCTTCGGCTTGCAATGGAAGACTCGACTCCATTAGACACCCGGGAATTGGTGGTTGGGGGTCTCAAAACCAGGTTGTTTTGAAGGCCCTAAATCAATCGGCCACGTATGGGCCGCAGCAGCTAGGTCCAGCTCCAGTAAGACCTTGGACCCAGAGGTCATCGTCTTCATGCCGCCAGGGATGCCAAGGCCGAATGCACCTGTGAAAAAGGCGATGTTCGCCAGACCCCAAATGCGCTTTTGTTGTGTCCTTCATGAACCCGTGAACCAGCAAAGAGATTGTTTTTGTTTTTTTTTTCAGGGGGGGCTTAGTTTGGTCAAGTGATCTTTCTCGTTTTGGTGTACTTGTAGTGATATAGCCTTGAAGGGTTGAGCATTTGTGTCCATATCAGTTGGACAATGCAAGATGGGTTTTGTGCAAAAAGTCATGTTTGGGAGCCATGCTTTTTAAGCTTGCGATAGTGATAGTGACTTACAGCATGGGACTTGGGCTCGCAATCATTGACAAATGGCTGACTGACCAATGCTCCCAGCAATCTAGGGCCCCAGCCACAAGCTAGCATGCAAAAATGGAGGCCTGCCCCTAGATTCTCTTGTTAGCTCAAATTTGGGCAACGTTGGCATAGGCGGGCAGGAATCCAACCCCCGCAACCCGCCTTGCCTTCGATTGGTTTGCCCAACACACGCCCCAAATGAGGCCACTGGAAAAGCTTCCTTGAACAGAATTGAGATCTGATTTTACAAAAAAGTCATCAACAAAACAGCATTTGGCAGGAGACAGATATGTCCACCTTGAACTGGGCTTGTAGCGAAGATGGGCCAGTGATTCGGATTGAAGCCAAAGCAAAATGGGAGATGGGGGGGGTTGTCTCAAAATGAATCGCGAACCTCTTTTAGTTGGTGTTTAATCGAAATCAAAACAGAAATCGTACAGTATTTTTGGACAACCCCACATGTTGTGTGTTTCCTATGCAAGAAGCGAAACGGAAAGGCGGAGTCAAACCCGCCTCCAACCCTGTTGCATGCAACACCCCTCACTTCACGCTGCTTTTTGACGGGGCAGTTTTATTAGCCCCCCACGTTGGATGTAAGAACCATTTCTTGTGTCAAATACATTTGCCTACTGGGTACATAAACCTCATCCACATTCAAGTGAACCACTGTTGCCCGGTGGTGCCCATGTTCCCGTTTTTTGGGGTAAGGGTTCCCCTTTGAACTCAACCAACCAAACAAAGGCGCCCTGTTTTCCCCTGGAAATCCGCTGGGCATCTGACGATTGACCTCGCTGAGGTCGGACACGCCTGAGCGGAGGGCTCGGAGGGGCGAGCGCTTTGAGGGTCCCAGTCATCTTCGATGTCCGGGTTGAGTTGGACGGAGACAAAAAATCCGAGCACTGGGAAACCATGGCTGAAACCATAACGTTTGTTGGCATTGACAGGCGAATCATGAGAAATCAGGCATTCTGAGTGGTGCAGGATGTCGTCCATCCACAGTGGGTCCCCCATGAAGGCCTGGACAAAAGACACAAACGTCATTTGATGGCTAGTGGTTACATCTCCGTGGTTTTTCCCGTGGCTGGAAGCAATCTTGAACGTTGAAGTAAGCCCGACCCGAACCTAGCCACGGACACGGACCAGTTGATGGCCTCCTCAAATTCACAAAGCTTGATCCCGAGTTGAACTTTGGTGGTGAATCCTTGCATGAACCTGACACCATGCAAGAGGGCTCCAAGTGTGCCAAAATACGCCCATCTTTGAGTGGCAAACAGCCACAGACACACACACACATGCTTGATGGCACCACGTTATCAGCTTCAGCGATACAACTGTAAGAGCATTTTCCTTGCGTCCCAAGCAAGTCGGCAGCTTGTTCCCCTTTCGATTTGCAAGCTGAGGGATTGTTGCAGTAGAAGACATGATCCAAGAGCAGTTCGAAGGTCTTGTGTTTGGCTGGGATGAGTTATGTAGCGCTTGGGCCAGCATTGCAGTATGGGCGATGCCTTACTTTGCCTGTACAAGTACATCATTTTTGTCACGACCGAAACGAAGCACTGCACAACACCAAGCTTGGCAGACGCACATTTCTGTTGGCTCCCCTTTCAATCGTCACTGACCAGGCTGCAAGTTGGACGCATCCTTATTTCTGTGTGCTAAATTGCCAATCTCCGGTCTTTGCTGGGCAAACAATCGGAGCTCTTGGGTGATTCAGGAAAGTGCACTCGGGCTTGTTTTTGTTTAGGTATGTTTTAAGGTGTTTCAAAGGAAAACCAAAAGGCACGCCACAAGTTTTTGGCGTCCCTCCACAGACCCATTCAGCCCACTTCTTCAAAATCAATCCGCAAGATCCTTATGCCAGATGGATTACGTGGTTTCCTCCCTTGTTGTGATATCCCCTGCATATCCCCCATTTTGAAAACCCGGTTAAAGGGCGGCCTGTGCCTGTTAGCCACCTTCATGGTTCAAAATAAGGTGAGCCAGTCTGTGAGGGTAGAAACCTTGTTTGGAGGAGAAACCCTTCAGATTCAATCGGCGAAAGGGAGGGTCAAAAGGGGCACGGGTCAAAAGGCGGAGGGATTTCTGTTGGCTGCTTCAAATGAGTGCGGTGTCTTGCTTGGCCAACCAGAAGCGTGGCATGCGTTCGCTTTACATGTCCACCAACCCGACAAAAAAGGTCCACTGATTTTGACATCCGGTACAGGTGTTTCCTAGAATCACAGACCCTCTCATCAAACAATTTAGTTTCGTTCTTGGCGTCCCTTTGCACACTGTTCACAAAGGGGTTTCCATTTTTCAGACACCCCCTCTTTGCCTTCTCCTATGCAACCAAAGCTCACTGCACGGGCTTGCTCGGGATCCGGATCCCAAAGATGCGCGAAAGGGATTTGGATGCCTTTGCTCGGTGGCTCTTGGGACGCAAACGTACTTGAAGTGCCCTTCGATTTGTCCATGGTGCGCTGGGGGAGCTAGCAGCTGGAATGAATTTTAATGTTTGCGAGTGACTGGAGGTGAAGCAACAAATACATGTTCGATAACACGCAAATCATGGCGTGCTTTGCGCGAAACATCCAGCCACAACACCCCTGCAGACTTTGCTTTGTGACCATTTCTTTTGTTGAATAGACACCTAAAGGATTGGCATCCAGCGACCCTGCTGTGGATGGACGGAACCCTGCAGCAGCGAAGAAATGCTGGAATGATGATTCGCCAGTACATACCAATAAGCAATGGTTTCACCCATGGTTTCCAAGTGGTGCTGAATTTTGTCCATCCACATTGCAGGCAGTCCCTGAATGTTGGCAAAGGTTAAACAAACTTCTGGTTTGTTTCTTGGGGTCCCTTAGGCACAGGGCCCTTCTCGTGACCGCGTGTTGCGCATTGAGCCAAAGCCGCGAGGTATAGCGACCTGGCGGATCCTTTGCCGGCCAAGCCTGGCGCTGAGAGCGCGGCGAAATGGGAGCCGGGCCGCGGCGTAGATGACCCCCAGGCTCTTGGACCCGAACGATTCCCAAGACGGTGCTTTTATAGTAAGGTCTTGGACATGTTTTTTTTTCGGGGTGAGGTGCTGTAGATGAGTTGGAACAAAGGACAACTGCAGTTGAATCGTTGCACGCCTCCTTTTTCGGGCACCCTGTTTATGGGCTGAGCCAGCAACTCTGTGTTTAGTTGAAGCATGTTCAATCCAGAAAGCATTTTTTTCTTGCGGAGTTGAGATTTGAGCAAAAGATAGGAGGTCTTGAAAAGTGGCACATCTTTCGGAGAAGGAAACGTAAAGAAAAACACTCCGTTGTGGAGGCTCCGTATTCAAGCACCAGCCCACTGCCGCCTTTGATTCCTTTGATCTTTAGAAGGCGGACCCGATCCATATTTTCCACTGGCAACACGCATTCCACACATCGACACTTGTTCAGCCAATAGAAACAAGAGGCATGCAATCGCCGAATCTTGTGGATTGAAGAGACAGGTGCATAAGCATTATGCCCGGCAGACATGCGTGTTGTTTTTGTTCTTGCTTCCTCCAGATTGTGTGGGCGACTCGCTTCAGTGGCGACCTCTGACTTCTCGGACACCCAAATTAGTTCGGGTAGGCCCGAACAATCTTGCTACGGGAGGGGCGCTGAAAAGAAACACACCATCTCTCATGTGCCACAAACTTGTGCGGGAATAGCAGCTGTTTCATTTGGATTTGCTTTGCCAAAGGAGACACACCAGTATTCACCAGAGCCTTGGTAGCAGAAGCAAGCGAGAGGCTTGCAAGAGCCTTGCACTTTGACCTTGTGATGGGGAAACTAGTCAATGCAGACACATGGGCACGAGGCGGCGAGCCATGGAAAGAAGGGGGAACCCATCTGGTCGTTCAACGTTCGCAGGGGCTCTTCCAGTTTGTTTCTAGAATGTTTTGCTTCTATTTCTTTACGTTCTCTTCTTATGGCCTCCAAAGTATGGTTGCGAACGTCCGCGCTTTGCTTTGCTAGAAGTGGTTCCTGAAATGCCAGCCCTGTCTTGTTTTACTATCTAGACTTGCAGGTAGACGATAATACGGGTTTCAAGTTTTTCTGGTCACTTGCAGTGGATCCACTGGACTATTGGCGCAAGCTGAAAGCACTAGATCACTGGCATCTGATCTTCCCAACACAATGCAGCCACTCTGTTCACCCAACCCCCAGCCTCCCCCCCCAGGATCCAAATGCATTTTAAGGAGGTACTGAGACTTGTACTTAGAGCGTGAGTCAAAAATAGGGTAACCCCAAAATGACTTGCCCTGATAAAATGGAAACAAGGACTCAGGTCTGCTGTCCGAGTCCTGGTGGTTTCATGTTGGCCCATATATCCCCAGAGGGTACTTGGACCCGGAAGGATACTGTACCCCTGCAGCAGGACACGATGAAAAAGCCGGGTAATTGAAGGTTTGCAAAGAACAGTCCCAGCCACAAATCGTTGCGGCCGCCTTCTAAATTCTTACATGGTTCTGGGTGGACCATCAAGTCTCATCTGTGTCAACCTTGACAATATGAAAATGAATGTAACTCAGCTACATCCATCAGACACAACGGTTTCAGACCGTGGAGTCCCAGGTTTTGAGTGCGCCTCGCCGTTTCCTCGCGCGGGGGGGTCCAGCGGGCTGGACGCCAGGAGCTTCTGCCGGCCCTCCCCGGCCATGCAGCAGCGGCCCAGCGGCATCAAGGAGGCGGATCGAATCGAATTCGGCGGCTGCTCGGCCGAGCGATGTTTTCGCGCGCAGCCGGGGGGGGGGGGGGGAAATTCTCGAAAATGCTCCGGAGCCTGGCAGAAGGCGATTTTTTTTTTATAGCTGTGCTTGTTATATTTTTCCCCCGGTTGGTTTAGTGGGTTAGAGAATCCGTTTCCTTGTTCCCTTGCTTGGAAGCATTAGGGCACCCACCGGTGCCGCCCGTTTTGCCTGCTTTGCCATTGCTAATTGGGTGCAAATTCGCCGCCACGGCCATGCAAGTAAATGTGGTCTTGCCAAGTGGGACTTGCTGCTCCATTGGCGTGGCGCCAGAGTGGACCGTCCGAGAACTGCAGTCATTAGCGCAACAGCACTTCCAGCGTGGCTTTTTGAGACTCGCCTTCCAAGGTCAGATGCTGGACTTATCGTCTACAGTAGCTGAGGCGGGCATAAGAGATGAGGATAGTGTGACTGCAATCGTGCAGCCTGCCAAGCGGATAGCTTCCACACGTGAAGCCTTCGCTCTGCATTGTGATGGAGGCGAAGCACTTGCTTGAGGCGCTGCTGGCTCCGGCGGTGACAACAGTCGGGTGCGAGGTCAGTTGGTGCGGGTCCAACACATCCAAGCAAACAAGAAGGCTTTTGCTGCCATCCTGGACGATGGCTCTGTAGTGACTTGGGGCCGTCGTTCCTGTGGCGGTGACAGCAACCAGGTGCGAGAGCAGTTGGTTGGGGTGCAGCAGATCCAAGCAACACCACGTAATTAGTGCTTTTGCTGCTATCCTGAAGGACGGCTCTGTGGTGACTTGGGGCAATGCTGATCATGGCGGTGACAGCAGCCAGGTGCGAGAGAAGTTGGTGCGGGTCAAACATATCCAGGCAACTGAAGGTGCTTTTGCAGCCACTCTGCATGATGGTTCTGTGGTGACTTGGGTCATGGCGGTGACAGCTGCCTGGCGCAAGAGCAGTTGGCTTTCGTCCGGCAGATCCAGGCAACTAAGCGTGCTTTTGCTGCCATCCTGGAAGTCGGCTCTGTGGTGGCTTGGGGCCATGCTGGTCATGGCGGTGATAGCAGCCTGGTGCAGGAGCAGTTGGCTGGCGCCCGGCAGATCCAGGCAACTGAGCGTGCTTTTGCTGCCATGCTGGACGACGGCTCTGTGGTGAGTTGGGGCAATGCTGGTCATGGCGGTGACAGCAGCCTGGTGCAAGAGCAGTTGGCTGACGTCCGGCAGATCCAGGCAACTGAGCGTGCTTTTGCTGCCATCCTGGACAACGGCTCTGTGGTGACCTGGGGCCATCCCAGATCCGAGCAAATGATGGTGCTTTCGCTGCCATGCTGTTGGACGGCTCTGTGGTAACGTGGGGCCATCCTGACTACGGCGGTGACAGCAGCCAAGTGCGAGAGCAGTTGGTTGGGGTGCAGCAGATCCAAGCAACCCTCTTCGCTTTTGCTGCCATTCTGGCTGACGGCTCTGTGGTGACGTGGGGCAATGTTTTTCATGGCGGTGACAGCAGCCAGGTGCGAAAGAAGTTGGTGGGGGTCCAACATAACCAAGCAACTGAAGGTGCTTTTGCAGCCATTCTGCATGATGGCTTTGTGGTGACTTGGGGCAAGCTTTCGTGGTGACAGCTGTCATGTTCAGACTAGCTGGACTTGTACGACATGCATGCTTACGCTGGCTAGCTCGGTGGTTGTCTTTGCTACCATCTGGGGCGATGGCTTGGTTGCGAGTTTGGGCGCCGGTGAACATGATTTCTGGCTGAAACTCAGAGGAGCTCGAATAGATACTGTCCCCGCCAAAAGCAAACGACCCTGATTAGTATGCTTCGAGATGATCAATAAGTTGCGAACGAGTTATCGAGAGAGAACCGGCCAGATGAGGGGAAAAAACTTGCCAAGCTACACCTTCCCCACTTCCCAGCACCCTTCCTTGCTTGGCCGAAAACGCCAAAAAGAAGGCTGTGGCTCAATAGCATCTACACAAATGGCACCTTAGTTAACGGAACCAAAGACGAACACCTGCGTAAGCCTGGCTATTTGATTTTGAGCCACACCCAAAACCAGAGTGTCCAAATACCTGAGGATGGCTTTTGGGGGTAAACAGGGGTCTAACAGGGCTCCTTAAAAGATCTCCATTTTGCAACCATTTGAAACATGTTGCTTTTTCCACGAAAATAAAGGTAAACCACCATTTACAAGTTGCAATGTTCAAGTGTATAATAGCATCCGGATCCCTGTCTAAGTAATTCCTTAGGTACTTGGATTTGGGAAAACAGCTTCCCTTCTTTCGGGCTCTTCGGTCGGGTCGCTTCGACTTGCCGGGAGGCCCTGGCCGCCTTCCAGCTGCTGCACGTTCGCTTCAAGGCGCCGCCCGGGCCTCGAACTTCTCACTGGGACGCCGCCAGTTGGCGGTTTTGGCGGCAACCGTGCGAGGACGTGGCGGAAGCATTTTGGTGTTGTTGTTTTTTGAGAAGGGGTCAATTACCCTCTCTCCAACAGGAAAACCCATCATATTTTTTGGGGGTTGGAGCTTTGCTCGGGGCAACCCATGTTAGTCGAAAGGGAGGTTTACCCTCTCTCCCACTAACATGGGTTGCCCCGACAACAGGTCCATCCCCCGAAATTTGATGGGTTGTTGGTTTCTCTCCAAACCCAAAAAGGAGGCACCAGGAGGAAGCTGATCCAGGTACACTCCAAGGCTAGATGTGCTCCCCCTCTTGTGTTCGAGGGGTTGTGGTTTGGGAATCAACCGAATTCTCCGTGCCCGAGTTTCGGGCCAGTTTGGGGTGATCGTTTTTTGAGTTTTGGGCCGTGTCTTCTTGATTTACGCAGTTGCACATGAACAGAAGGAACCCAAAAGCCTTCGAGGGGACCTGATTACCGTGTATTTGTTTTTGTATATATATATATATCTTGGGGAGTACCACTCGGCGGACCATTAACACGCTGCTGAAATACTTGTTGCGAGTTTCGCAGCATTCTGAGCACTTTAAAAGGATGTCAATTGTTTTTGTTCTGGGGACCTCCAAAAAGTATCCGAGGCCTTTGTCAGGCGCTTATGCCTGTCAACAAATGGGAGCCATTCGCTCATGTGCTCTAATGCTGACCCCCTATTAATCAACCCCTGTTTATTAATACGGGGGTGTTCCTCTCCAAAAGTGGTCTGAGTCCCCACTAAAACCAGGAAAAAAAAGAGAAAAAACACCACCCCCATATTCATAAAGAGGGGTTGATGAGTAGGGGGTTTCCATTGTGCTTCTTGGGCCAAGAGGTGCCGAAGGTCTTTGGATCCCGAAGGCCAGAAGGGAGCGCTCACCGCCCTATCGCTGAGGCACTCGCCGCTGGTGCAGGAGGGCATCACTTGGTGTCGAGGCATCGAAAGGGATGGAGTTCAGTGCGCGTAGATTTGGACCCCTGGCTGTTGTAGAGGGTGAACGGGAAACCTCGTCTGTACTTCCATTTGAGACATACACACTTTTAGCCAAGACCTTGAAAGTAGCAGCTGAGAAGGACTAGGACTGGGGGACCAAGTTTTGCGGATTAGATTCTATGTTTTATCTTTCCTTGTTGGTTTTAAAATAAATCTGGCACTACTGCATATTTTACACATATTTTGCAAGGGGCTTGGGCAGATGAACGTGTAAGGTTTGTCTGTAAAGGGGGGGGGCGACACCCCAAATCGGTGGTGTCCGTATGCTTGTCCTGTTGAACAAAAAGACGAGGTCATGTATGCATAACGAGCTTACAGTGAAGAATCCTCCTTTTGTGGTTTTGCTTTATGAGCTCAGAAGGCCATACCAAGGGTTCCCTAACCTGGGTCGTCCTTGGCCCCTGCCGCGGGAGACTGCATAGAATGAAGCTGAGGAGGGTGTTGGTGTTAGAGTGCTTCAACATAGCCTTTGAGTGGCCAAGGGAATCCAGAATTGCCATAGTCAGTTGCATCGACAAAATCGTGACACTTGTTGGGTCTTAAACCCTCAATACAGGTCCCAAAGTCCCAAACAGAGCATCCATGGTTTTAGCCACCCACATGCAACCCATTGAGGTTACTTAGTGTGACCCTCTTCCGTCCCTGAGTCCCTTGGTTCAAATGACGCCACTGGTTTGAGATGGGCATTGGGTACCAGACTCACAGACTCGAAGTGCTCAAAAGGGCCCTGCCACGAAGGGGTAGAGAGGTACTGGCATGGGCCGAGGGTATGAGACATGTTCTTCGGTCACTGCTTCAATGGCCATGGCAGAACATGCACCTGCCAGTGCCAACCAATATGTCCTCTTGTCGTTTTTGTTTGGCCATGGCAGAATCTGTCAGTGCAATCAATCTGCATGCTCGTCTGCTTTTTGCCAATGGCCCCTGAGCCACAGGCTTACTGGACGACCTGCTCAGGGAGTTCCGCAAGCCAGCCGCCCAGCACGGGGCTGCCTTGCCAGATGCCACAGGCGATATAATATATATATATATATATAATATATGTATATCTATATATATATAATTCCATGCAGTCCATGTTCCGCGGCTGGTCCACTTGTAAGCTTCAGCGAATCAACTGTACAAGGGGCGCGATGCAAGTAGTCAAGCTCTGGTAGTTTCACAAAAGTTACAGCGCTTGCTGTAGTGCAAATGCAACGGCTGCTAATCAATTTCCCAGCATTGTTGGGCATCCAGCGTGAGCTTGCAGAGCGGTCTTCTTTGTTGCATCAGCAGTTTTTGTTTCCCAGGGCAATCTTAATCTTCCATCAGAGTGTGGTAGGCATCTTGAAAAAACGAGCTGGGCAACGAACATTCATGAGGAATGAACCCAAAAGTCTCGACTCACAATACGTGCAACAAAGACTTCTAGAGCCAGTGGCCATGTTGGCCATGGGTGCTGAATAGCGCGTGATTCGCAGAAATCTGTGAGAGAGCCTAAAGCTCCAGAGAGGTTCAGAGTTCCTGGAAGGTGTCCGGAAGGGTTCGAGTCTACCCAAAGGGACCCAACAGGGGCTGGGAGATTTGTTTCGCGCCCAGTGTTGGGTGGGCTTCTTTCAAAGACGTCCAACCACTGTCTCCCGGTTCCTGGGGCCACTGGTGGATCATTGAGTCGGCCATAGCGAAGACCTTCAAGAGCCTTGGAGCAGGCTGTAGGCATGAGCCATGCATTAGCCAGGAGCCTTGGGTAAATGCAAAACAAGACACGCTCCGCCTTGCAACATAGGTTCCACCAGCCAAAAGTCACAAGCGCTTTATGGGGTGGAGCAGATGAGAGCCACTTAAGTGTCAAAATGTATTCCTCCACGCTGAGAGGACCATGGCCCTGTTCTTCAGCGCTGGGGGCCCCCCATACAACCTTTGAAAGCCATCCGTTTTTTTGGTTCGGTTACTAACTCCAAGGGCACTCAAAGTGACGAATGCAGCAACGCCAGGATGATGCGTTTCGTGGTTTGGCGACCCGGTCCCCCTTGGTTGTCAGTCTTGGAAGTTTCAGGATTCGTTCTCGGCATCGGATGGGTATGAGCAGTCCAACCCCCCACAATTTTGTGGTGGCTTCCCCCAAACACGACCATCTTGGGCGCCTGTTTCGACCGCCAGCCGACCTTCGCATTTGCGCGCCAGGCCTGATTACCAGCAGGCTGTGAAGTCCACAGAGGATCGCAAAGGCCGAGATGGAGAGTTCACTCGGTTGGCCTGGGTATCTGGGGAGTTGATCAACATATTCCCTTCGGCCCCCAGTTTTGATCATGGATAACCATTCCCATTCAGTAGGAAGTATTTCTTTGTGGTCTTCCCCAGTGGTCATCCCATGTAGAGCGTAGTCTCTTCATGAGACCCTTTCATGGCCAAGCAACGGGGCTCCAACCAGAGCTGAACGTCTTTGAATTTAAGTTGCAGATTTGGAGGGCAGTGCGCATGAGGTTACCTTTCTGAGAACAATCATGAAGCCAGCTCAGGATGGTTGTGATTTGCATGAGCTCTCCATTTGTGTGGTTTGTTGAAACGCAATCCCTCAAAGATGGGAAGCAAAGTTTAGGTGAAATCCGATCTATGCAAAGGACCGTAAACAGGCAACCCGGGATAAATTGACCCTGTGACGCCGCTCAAAGATCATGTGTGCAGGTCTCTCCGATATCGCCCGGGGAGCCCAGAGTTCCGTGTGTGTGTGTGGCCGCAAGTCGTTGGCGAACGTAGCCCTTGACAAGCAGCAGCAACTGGGGCTTCCGTGGGAACTTTGGATGTAGACCCTTTGAGAACCGCAATGCATTATCAAACAAGATGTATTATATATATATATATGCATTCCCCTGCAGATTAACATGGAAACCAAGGTTGCAAGGTTGGTTCCATGTGAACTTGCAGGGAGTATTCATCAAGCACTTAGTTTGAAGAATCGATTTGGGGCGGTTAATCACATTCGCACATCAAAGATGAGAGCGATCTCGCATGTTGTGGCAGACGTTTGTGTGCTTTCTACGCGTTCCATGCTTATTCTGTAGCAGAGTATCCCTCATCTTTTTTTGTTGGCTTTCTTTTGGCTGTGTCTTTTTTTCTTCGGGACCCCCAACCTGGTGGTGTTACTCACGGATTCCCTGAAGGAACCCGCAAAAAAAGAAGAGAGAGGACGAGCTCCGGCCTTTTTGGCTGGCGCCGCCACAAAGCGCAAAGCGCCGTGGCGTCGAGGTCCGGAAGCTCCAAGCGGAGATTCTGCCCAAGCACGGGCTCGGATCCGAGGCCCCGAGACGGGAAGGGGAATTCGCCTTCGCCAAGGCGAAGGCGTTAGGAGGACCTCAGGACCTGGACCCGAATTTTTCCCTTAAAAATGGGGCGATGGCCCCAAATGGATAGGAATTCAGCACCTGGTTGAAGGGTAGTTTGAGGGTGCAGGTACGTTTTTATTGACACGACATTCGTTCGTGGATTATGGTTTACAGAAGTAAATGTAAAGAGTCACATTGAGGTCTGACGTGTGCTTTGTGGACTGTCTGGTTTAATTGTTGAGTTCCTGTGCTGTTGCGGACTTCACGCACCACTAAGTGAGGTATAGAATGCCGAATTCATCACAAGTGAAAAATCGAACAATAATTACCTCTATTAAATAGTGTGCTTTTCTAATGAATGTTTGGGATACGCCTGATGAGCACCTGCTAAGCAGAGTCGACCTTTTAATCTTTTGGAATGCCGCTATTGGGCCGACCTGAATCGCCCCAAACGGTAGTTGCTTGGGCATGCGAGATCATGGCACTCCAAGAAAGCGAACGGCCAAGACAGATGAAATGGGAAGATAGCAACAGTATGTTGGAGCATGGCAAGCATGGCTTCAGGTTCAGGTGCTCGGGTTGTTCTCCCCTGCCCCTGATCAGCACTGCTTTTGCGGGTCTTAGCGAGTCTCGCCGCCGCTTCGTGCGTATGCGTGATGTACTGCTGAGTTCCGAAAGTTAGGACGAAGCACAAGTGGGTCTGGCGAAGCCAGGATCCCTGCCAAGGGGCGCGGCGCCTCGCCACTTTCACGTTTCCTTTGTCGGAGGTGCGATCCGACATCTTGTTGGCTCTCAGCTCAAGTTCTGCGGTTCTCTCTGGCGCATGACCTGCTGATTTTGGCCATGCAGGTGGATGTGTGCCTGCCAAGTGGCAAGAGCTGTTCAGTGCCGCTGCTGCAGAAGTCAACCGTTCGCGAACTAAAGGCTGCGGCACAACAGCAGTTCAAGCGCCGATTCCTGAAACTTACTTTCAGAGGGCGACAACTAGATCTGTCGTCTACGTTGAGCGAGGTGGGCGTGCGAGATGGGGACACTATTGATGCAATCGTGCAGACAGTGAAGCTAGCTTCCTCGTCTCAGGCATTTTCACTTTTTGCTCCTGATGGGGCCGCGCTTACTTGGGGCCATCCTTTCGCAGGCGGTGACAGCCACGAGGCAGGGGAGCAGTTGATACGCGTCCAGCGGATCCAAGCAACTGGATGCGCTTTTGCTGCCATCCGTGAGGGCGGCTCTGTGGTGACTTGGGGTGATCAATGCTATGGCGGTGACAGCGCTAGGGTGCGGATGGCAAGTGCTCAGCAAGTCCAAGCAACACAAGGTGCTTTTGCTGTCATTCTGGACGATGGCTCTGTGCTCACTTGGGGCGATCCTGACTTCGGCGGTGACAACAGCCAGGTGCAAGAGCGGTTGGTGCGTGTCCAGCAGATCCAAGCAACTGTCTATGCTTTTGCTGCCATCCTGGACGACGGCTCTGTGGTGACTTGGGGGGATCCTGGCTGTGGCGGTAACAGCAAAAAGGTGCGAGAGCAGTTGTTGCGTGTCCAGCAGATCCAAGCAACTGCCTCTGCTTTTGCTGCCATCTTGGATGATGGCTCTGTGG